GAAGGATGGAGAGGAGAGGAGGAGGAGGAGGAGGAGGAGGAGGAGGAGGAGATTGGATTTATACCCCCCACCCTTCACAACCCAAAGGTGTCTCAGAGCAGCTGACAAACTCCTTTCCCTTCCCCTCCCCACAACAGGCACCCTGTGAGGTCAGTGGGGCTGAGAGAGCTCTGACAGAAATTGCTCTTTTTCAAGGACAGCTCTTATCAGAACTACAGCTTGCCCAAGGTCATCCAGTCAGGAGCAAGTGGAGGAGTGGGGAATCGAACCCGGCTCTCCCAGATGAGAGTCCGCGCACTTAACCACTACGCCAAACTGGCTGACTCCAACTCTGAGTGGGGGGCGGGGTTGCCAACTTCCAGGTTGTGCCTGGAACTGATTACAACTGATCTCTAGGCAACAGAAATCAGTTTACCTGGGTAAAAAATGGCGACTTTCAAAGGTGGCCTCTATGCCATTAGAGCCCAACGAAGTCCCTCCCCTCCTCCCCAAGCTCCTCCCTCCTCACGCTCCACCCCCAGAATCTCCCAACCCAGAGCTGGCAATCGTGTGGAGGGGGGGGATCTGTGAGGAGCTGATAAAACACTCCCTCTCCAAGGCTGTGTGCCTATTTCCCTGGGATGAGTTTGCAGGGTGGCTGTAGCCGGTGGGTAGGGTTGCCAGATGAGGTTCCCCCCCCCGATTTTGGGGGCTCCTTCCCACCGCTAGCCAGCTGGCTGGCAGCAGGAAGCCCCAACCCCAAGAGTGACCACCCGCGGCCACACCTACTGCAAGATTTAAAGGGTCCTCCGGCACATGGCCCGCCGATCAGCTGGAGGACCCTTTAAACCCTACAGGAGGAAGAAGGGTGCCCACGGGCACCTGCACTCCAAGCCGCAAGTCTCCCCGCTTCTTCCAAAAAGCATGTAAAGGTGCCACTGGACTCCCACTTTGTCAGACTGCCTCAGACCAGCATGGCAACCTGCCTGAATCTGTGTTCATAAACCTAAGTGTCACAAGGTTGGGATCCCACCGTCAAAGACAAGAACTCCCTCAGGTCTTTAATGGGGGAAAAAATTCTTTGATACCCCTCTCTGAATTTAAATAGAAGTTGCACCCGCAGCTTGTTGTGACCACGCCCCCCAACGGCCAGGCCACAAGCCACAACAACTGTAGGGACCCATCTTTGCTGAAGCAGTCCTCAGATACCCAGGGATCCCCCGTAGGCGGCAACGAGAACTACTGACCAAGGCAACACCACTGATTGCCTCACAGATTAAAAAAAAAGAACCCTGTGAAAATGGGCATGACCCTGCAAAATTTGTGTTTCCCCAGTCCTGACTCAGGAGCAGTAAGTGTTGACGACGCAACTCCCACCAGTTTCCAAAGAGCAGGGAAATCCAGGAGAAATCAATTGCAAACTCTGGGAAGGGGCCATGCGGTGCAGACACATATGCTTAGATGCCAGCAGCACCCACTCCTGAGATGACAGATCCACGCAGAAGAAGCCTGTCTCTTCGTTGGGTGGCTCATGCCAGTAAGAGCCTGTTCGTTTTTTCAAAATATGCTTTTGCTGGTGAAGAGCTTTTGAGATGCAGACAGTGTGAGTCAAGCAAATTAATGATAATGTTCCTTTTCTAAAAAAACTAGGAAAACTGTTTTGCTTCCAGCTTCTCATCTAGGAACAAGGAACTGGGTGCCAAGGGCAATGTTCCCTCTAAGCTGTGGAGCTCTGTGAGCAAAAATTCTACTTTGTGTGCGACCGGCATTAAAGTTGTGAGCGAGCGATTGGGCTGCTGCATCAATTAGTTTGCTCTGGAGCCCCATCCTCCCTGAGACAAAAATGGGTGAGCCGGAGGCTAGAAAACTGTGAGCTAGCTCACACTAACTCAGCTTAGAGGGAACACTGACTGCCTCCTGTTCCCCGTTACGTGTGGTCCCACACCCCATCTTCCTTGATGCACCTGAACTCTTTGGGAGAAAGAGGAGCCATCTGCCTGTTGGTATGGGAGGAGTGGCTGAGAGCCATAAGAAGAGGAAAGCAGGGCGTCTTTCCCACAGGGTCAACAGGCCGTGCCTTGGCACAACAGTGAGTCAACTGCCTGTGGTCCTCTCAAAACATGGCCCCGGTCAAAGAGGAGTTGCCAGCCGCGCGCTAATACCTGCAGACCGATCTAGTTGGAAGAGCCTGAGCCACATCTGCCTTCCTTTACCAAAGAAGGTAACGCTGGAAGGAAACCTCCAAGTCCAAGTTTCTGTCATAACTGCTAACTTAGTCACCACCACGAAAAAGGCTCCAAGGTTCCAGAATCTCCTCAGAACAAACTAGGGTTGCCAAGTATAAATTCCTCCGGAGCGGGAAACTCCTGTCCGGCGTCGGGAGCGCGCGTGCGCTGCACGCACATCACCCAGAAGTGACGTGACGATGCCGGGCACGCTGGGAGCGGGGCCACGACCATCCGAGGGAAAACCATAGTTTTTCCCTCGGATGACCGTGGCCCCGCCCCCAGCGTGCCCGGCGTGGTTGCGCCACTTCCGGGTGACACGCACATCAGGGTGGGGTTCCCCCCCCCCGAGGCCCGATCCGCTGGCCATGGGGAACGGGCCTCTGGGGCAGGGGTTTCCCCGCCCCCCATGGGGACTTGGCAAGCCTAGAACAAACAGCCAAACGGAGCTGAGGCCTTTACCGGAATCCTCCAAGCCTGAAGAAGGAAGACCACGTGCCCTTCAAATTGTTGCAGCGAAACAGTATTAATCTCCTGTCTGCAATTTCACCCCAGGGTCAGTGCCTGGGAATTTCAGTGTAGAGGTCGGATACGTCCGCTCTGCAAAAGGTGGGGTGCAGTTTTCACCCGAAGACTAACTTATTTCCCTTCCCCTTTTTAGAGGCATCTTGTTTTCCCAGTTGAAGCCTGGCCCAGAGAGGAGGAGGAAGACACAGATTCACCGCAGAGCAACCCAATTCCGCAAACAGCTCTACATTCACTGACCTCATGAATGGACAATATGAATAGTGATGGAAGACAGAATGCTTCCCTCTTAAATGTCCAGAGGTTCATTTCTGTACCCGATAAGAGAGGAGACTCTCTCAGTCCCTCTCGCATCAGCCTTCC